CAAAAGGTGCTGCGTTCGAGAGGCGGGAAGCGCCGTCACAACTCGACAGGAGTGCCCTTGGAAGGGGAACTTTCGAATGTTTTTACCTTTTCCTCGTTAACAGAAGAAAAGGTTATTCTTTTCCTTTACATTTGCTTTTACAAGGGTTGTTTCCCCCTACTCCCATGGTGATTTTCCTTCAGAGTTTTTTAGCTCTTGTGTTAAATACCAACACGTCTCTACATAGTACTGTGACTGAGGAGAACCTCTAGGCTTAGACATGAGAAGGTAGGAGCCATCCATTCCTGAGGTGGCAGTGGCTGCAGAGTCAAGGTGCTGAAGGAGAGGGGCACTGAGCGGGCCGGGGTCCCGTCTGGGGCCCTTGTCAACTGCATTTTTGTCTACTGAAGCACAGGCCGGTAGAATATGATCTGCTCTAGACCAAGACAAGCTGGCCAGCAGCTCCAGGCTTTTTGCTGGAAAAGCTGACACCATCCTTGCAGCTCCGAGCATGAATTCATCATATCCAGACACATGTCTAAAGACCACACCAGAGCATTTTTTCCTTTAGGCATAGATTGAAACCCTTGTGCTATGCTCTCTGTTCTTCCTCCAGTCAGCTGGTGCTCCAGGCAGCAAAGCTAACAGGTAGCTCAGGGGGCTGGGGGTAGTCTGGGGCTTCTGCTGTTTCACCTGAGGACCACTGACCCTGATCTGCAGTGGCACGGAGCATTTTATGAGAGACACCAATGCATCTTTGAGACTACAACAAAAAGAGGTTTTCTTGAGTCCATCCCTACCCTCCCCTAATCCACACGTAGGGACTAATCTCATAATATACTGAGAGACACTGCACAGCTTGCTTCTCATCAGGTTCCCCAGCAATCCTTAGCAATATCACTGTAAAAGCCTCTAGCATTTCAGGTACCCTGATTTTATTTTTAAAAAGCTCCTTTACTTTGTCCCCAAACAAAGTATGCTTTGTCTGGGTCCTTCTGTTCTGCCAGGATAGGGTGAAGGAGTCTCATTGTAAATGGAAGTCAAGCTCTCAGGGCAGTGTAAAAAGAGGATTTGGTCCACATCCCAGTCAGGAGGCATTGCCTGTCACCTGGGAGTGTTAGCCATGCACCACGTCTAAAAATACATTGCACCATGTCCCCAGTAGATATAGCTTACTGATGTTACGTGAATGAAATAAGTGTGTATTGAGGGTTTCAGAACCCGTGTGGCGAACAGATTTCATTTTTACTTCCTCTGTGTTACTAATAGCCGTTAACTCCCTGCTAACGGCTGGGAGCTGACTGGAATTTTTGCTTCTGAGTCAGTCCCAGATGTGAAATGTAGTCAGATGAAGCACTGTAACTGCCAGGTTAAGAGTTAACACATGCCCAAAGAGGTGCTTTCATAGTATAATACCATTTGTATTCCACTAGTGCTCCACAACCCAGCCATGATTCCAAAACCCCATTGTACAAATACTGAATAGAAGGATGGTCCCTGTTCTGAAAAGCTTAGGACATTGTCTTTTGCTCCAACCAACAGAACAGTAGTTTTGGCTCAGGAGACCCGAGTTCAGACTCCTGTTCACTCAGCTAGGTGTTTGACCTCAAGTAAGTGGGTCTGCCCTGAAGCGCTTTGATTTCTGCAAATATAAGGTGTAGAGGGTCATGAAACTGCAAGGAGAAGGTCTGGCAAAGACTTGGCAAAGACTCTGCAGTACCACCTGCATCACCCTCCTGCCTCAAAGCCAAAGGAACTCCTTCAGTTATTTCTGATATATGTGGAATGTGGAACCTTAAAGACCTCCAAGGTGGAAAGTTTACCATCTCCTGTACAACCTATGCCAGTTCTTCTCTAGCCATGACGTGAGATTTTTGTTGGTTTTTGCTTGGTTTTTTCCTCCAAAAGTCTATATGAAATTTCTCTTGCCTTTGTGGCTTTTGCAAGTCTTAGATTGGATATTAGGATAAATTTCTTCACCAAAAGGGTTGTCAAGCACTGGGACAGGCTGCCCAGGGAAGTGGTCGAGTCACCATCCCTGGAGGTATTTAAAAGATATGTAGATGTGGTGCTTAGGGACGTGGTTTAGTGGTGGACTTGGCAATGTTAGGTTTACCGTTGGATTCGATGATCTTTAAAGGTCTTTTCCAACCTAAATTATTCTGTGATTCTGCTTTGGGCTTTCTGATTTTATGTATTTGTGCTGTTTTTTTGTATGGGTGCCATCCAGTTTCCACATTCTTTTAACTTCCTTTTTGTGTTTGAGATCAATAAAACTTGATTTAGCAGTTAAGTCTCTTACTTCACTTCCAATTTTTCCATTGCCAGCTCTTCTTAACTCCTTTTCCCCTTATAAATTATTTTCTCATGAAATCTTAACTGCCAGTTTTCTGAGTTCATTGAAGCCCATTTTGTTGTTTTTATTTTGCTGTTCTTCCTTTCCTTAGAGCTTTGAACTCTTCATGTCATTGTCTTTCTTACCAAGTTACCTTTCATCCTCACCTTTTTGATTAGTCCTTCTCTGTTTTTTGTAATAAAATACAGAAAACTGGTCTCAGACTCAGTTCCTTTGCTCCATCAGAACAGAAAATATCACTAGTGCCTTCAAAAATGTTCCATCCATCTGTGTTCCTCTGTCCTACTCTGTGGACAGATAGCTGGGCACTTAAAGTCACTCAGTTCTGCCAAGTCCTGTACTTTGGATATTTCCTGTAGAAGCTCAACGAAAAAAGCATTCAGTGGCTCTTTTTGGCGACCTAGAGCAGTCATGCTGTGTTCCTTTCTGAAGTGCTTTGAAATCTTTAAGTTAGGTGGTGATATTATTAATTTTTATGTTGATCGTGATGGTTTTAGCCACTGAAACTCCAGTGAAGGCTTTGATTAATCTTTCCCTGTACATGCATACCAGCATCTAGCAAGAACGAATAGATACATATGCTAATCCTAGTTAATGTATTTTATCTTCTGCGTTTATCTCTCTTTGCACTGGATTTCAAAACAAGGTGCTATATGAATATCTTGTTTTTTGCAGTTGTAATGAAGCATATCTAATGAAGATGACAGTAATAAAAATAATAACAACAACTGTTGCTTGCTAGATCAGCAAAACAATAGTCACCTCCTCTTTGTATGGGTATAGAGTCTCTTTCATGGATATACATTTTATCGGATAAACTTTAGCCACAAGTTTACATCCTGAGTAACATGTTCAAAACTGGTTCAATGAATTAACAGCACAGATTCCAATTAAATCAGCAAGAATGCAGCCTCTAGAGACTGAAGGTGGTGCCTGTGTGAGGATGCTACCTAATTAAAGGTGTGAAGTCATCGACTGTGAAGCATATTGAACCAGCAAGTGGATCTTATCATTCAAGTGTGGTAGAACCGGAGATATCAGAACCGAGGATTAGCATTGCTAATCATGGTTGAAAGTGTAAATAACAGTTTATAGTTTAGATAAGCTTACAATGTGTATGTCTGTCTGTCATTGTTCCAAGTGTGATAGCATCCTGCCTTCCACATACCAAGTTTGAAATTGGGGAAGGAAAAATGTAATGTCTAGACAGTAAAACTTCAAGGAAGTTCAGCTATGTTGTATACTTAAATGCCTTTTTTCCTTCTTTTAGCTCTCTGCCCTAATGTCATAAATCAGCGGCACTTGAGAACTCTGAATTACCTCTTTTACAAGAGATTTGTTGAGGTACGTTTCTGTATTGTGTGGCATAGGTGTGAATGAGGCTTTTTGTTTATTTTGCATTTTGAATAATATAATTTATATGATTCAAATGTATTGATAGTATATGAGCAAGTTTTTGTTGTGGTTATTATTGCATAGAAATGCACTGGATCTGCCACTGGACCTGTTTTTTCTGTAGGTGAATAGTTTGTGTGTCCATTCATATTCTAATGACTGGGTGTCTGTCTGGACTTCTGTATGGCCTTTGACACCGTCCTCCACAACATCCTTCTCTCTAAATCGGAGAGATACGGATTTGATGGGTGGACAGTTGGGTGGATAAGGAGTTGGTTGGTTGGTCTCATCCAGAGCGTAGTGGTCAATGACTCAATGCCCAGATGGAGATCAGTGATGAGTGGTATCCCTCAGGGGTCTGTACTGGGACCAGTACTGTTTAATGTCTTCATCAATGACATAGTCAGTGGGACCTAGTGCACCCTCAGAAGTTTGCAGATGACACCAAGCTGAGTGGTGCGGTTGATGTGCCTGAGGGATGGGACGCCATTCAGAGGGACCTGGACAAGCTTGGGGAATGGGCCCCCCTGTGAACCTCATGAGGTTCAACAAGGCCAAGCGCAGGGTCCTGCAGCTGGGTTGGGGCAACCCCTGCTATCACTACAGGCTGGGGGGTGAAGGGATGGAGAGCAGCCCTGCCGAGAAGGACTTGGGGGTACTGAGAGATGAAGG